ACCCCCAGGTCCCTCTCTGCAGGGCTGATCTTGTTCTCAATTGGTGATTGCCCAGCTCTCTAATTTCTCCAGATCTCTCTGCCCTCCAGAGTGTCCACAGCTCCTCCCAGTTTGGTGTCACCAGCAAACTTTGTTAGCAGTCCTTCAAGCCCTGTATCCAAGTCATTGATGAAGACGTTAAAGAGCATCAGCCCCAGGATGGATCCCTGTGGGACCCCACTAGTGACCAGTCACCCGTGCAGGAAAGAGGCAGCGGGGTCCCACGACAGAGCTGGGACACTCATCCTTGTGTCCCCCACCCTGTGGCTTGGAGCCTTCTCCTCACCTGAGGACACAGCCAGGAAAGAGGATCTCGTACTCGACCTGGTGGGACGAGCCGCGGGTGACCACCACGGTGTGCTCGTACTGCTGCGCCAGCTGGTCCCGCACGTAATAGTGCTGGGGCACGTCCCCCCCATAGTTGATCTGGAAGGGGATGGAGATAGGACGTGAGTATGGGGGACAACCACCCATGCACCCCCAAGGAACCTGGGCCAACATCAGGGGGCTTCTCCCACCTTGCTGGAGCACTTGGGGTCCCCGTCAGGGTCTGTCAGAGTGCCCCCGTACTCCACCGGGATCTGCTCGGGGTCAATGTACTTCTGCAGGACCTCCTTCCAGTTGGCTGGTGGGGTGAAGGACAGTGGGGTTTGGGGGGGGCTGTGACCCGTATAAGGAGCCCCAGCTCAGCTAGGACCACCCCCAAGGCTGGGGTTTCACTCCTGGGTGGGACAAAAGCCAAGGGGGATGTGGCACCCTGGTTTTGGCTTCCACCATGCTCCCCCCTGACTGGGGACACCCGGGGGAGGGGGTCAGGACTCACATCCCAGGACCACGACCTTCTTGCGGGTGTCCTCGCTCAGGAAGTGCTTGACGAGGTTGTAGGCCACGGGGAAGATCTTGGGGGCTAGGGGGTGGATGAGGGGGTGTTAGGTTAGGGGTCAGCACCCACTCAGGGGGAACAGGACCTGGGGGCCAAACTCACCCTTCACGATAAAGAGGCGCTTGAGGGACTCGGGGTAATTCTCCTCGAACATGGACAGGATCTGTGGAACAGGCAGAGCTCCAGCTCACCTTCCCATCCCACGTGCCCACCAGGACACAGGGGGCACGGGCTGGGACCCCCTCCCCGAAACCCCGGAGGGGTGCGGGGCACCATGGGGACCTGCTCTTGCATTATCCCTCGGGGCCATGAGTCAGCCAGTTCCCTGCGTCACCATGTCACCAGCCCGGGAATGGCAGCGGTCCCGGGCCGGGGAAG